GCTGTTCTTCTAACACACCTTCTCCCTTCATGTTCCCCCCTCAAAAAAAAACCCCACACTTGACTTGGCTGAGTACAGTACTAGAGGAACCATAACAATGGATGGCAGGGAGTGGTTGCTTTCCTTCTTGGAATGCAGAGTACCTAGGAAATGGTCAGGGGCCATTGTGTTGTAGTGGGTAGAGCTGTAGGCTGGGATGCCAGCATCCCAAATGGGTGCTGGTTTGTGTCCTGTGTGCTCCACTTCCAATCCAGCTCCCTGCTAATGTGCTTGGGAAAAGAGCAGAAGATGGCCCAAGAGTTTGGGCCCCTACCGTCTAGATGGAAGACCAGTTGAAGCTCCTGGATCCTGGCTTTGCCCTGGCCCAGTGCTGACCATTGTGGCTCTCCTACTCCGCTTCCCCTTTCTCTGTCTCTTCTCATGCCCCACTCCTCTGCTCTGCCCTCTCCCACACTCCCCTAAAGTTCTAATTTTCAAAATAAATTAAAAAAAAAAAGGTTCAGGGATGGTCAGAGTTGCCTTTTCATTGTGATTTTGTTGTATTGGGACATAATTTGTTGTGTTGCTACCATTTGTGGTCAGAACACCTCTCCAGTGTGGTTGGGAGATATGCAGCTTTGCAGCTTTGCTCGCCAGCCACACTGGGCGTGCCTTTGGGTCTCTAACTGTCCCATGAGCTGCTCAGAGCTGGGAATTGCTTTTTGTGTGGCACAGAGGTCAACAAGCCACTTGCGATGTGTGTACCTCTAGATCAGGATCTGGGTACATGTCCTAGCTCCACTTGGAATTCCACCTTCTGTTCATTTGTACCCTGGGAAGAAGCAGTAGTGATAGAGAACTTGGGTTTTTATTGCTAGCATTTCAGAACTGAAACAACAGGTGAAAAAGGATTTCTGTGTCTTTTTCTCTTTCAAAATTTTGGGGGAGGAGGTAACATTGTGGCATGCCAGGTAAAGCCTCTGCCTGAGAACTGGCATCCTGTGTGAGTTCCTGTTTGTGTCTGTGTGCTGCTCCACTTCCTAATCTAGCTCCTTGCATGTGGCCTGCAAAAAAAGTAGAAGATGGCCCAAAAATGTGGGCCCCTGTAACCCACATGGGAAACCCAGATGAAGCTCCTGGCTTTGGCCTCGCCTCCCCTACTACCACTTGTGGCTATCTGAATCGGCAGATGAAAGCTTGATCTCTAATTCCTTCAGGATAATGAACCTCTTAAAACAATTTTTTACGATTTATTTTTATTTCCAAGGCAGATTTTAGAGTAGAGACAGAAGAAAAGAGCTTCCATTCAATGGTTCACGCCCCAAATGGCCACAGTGACTGGAGCTAAGGCAATCCGAAGCCAGGTCTCTCATGTGGGTACAGGACTTGGACCATCCTCTGTCGCCTTCCCAGGCCGTAACAGGGAGTTGAATGGGATGCGGAACAGTGGACAGAAAACTGAGCGTACATGGGATGCTGGCACTTAAAGGGTGGAGGATTAGACTATTGAGGTGATGTGCTGGCCCCTAAAAATGCCTTTTGGCGAACACTGACTGGCTTGCCGACTATTGAGAAGAAAGCCATTAGCAGAAAACCATTTTGGCTGTTGTACCTTTAGATTTAGTTGGGCCGGCTAAGCAAAGGAGTGTTCTTCCCTGTTGTGGGACCATGTCCTAAGTTGTGCATACCCTGCTGGTGTGAGTGGTCTCCTGCCATCCTCCTAGGAGCTTTCTTGACTACATAGTGCTAAATTGCAGCTAGCACTGGTCCCTGCTCCACAGCCTGAAAAATGATCCTGAATTTGAATGAGCCAGGCAGTGATGGACATGTCTTTTCAGTGGTTTTTTTTTTTTTTCCTTTTTAAGATTTATTTTGTTGGAAAGATTTACAGAGAAAAGGAGAGGAGAGACAGAGAGAAGGATCTTGCATACACTGGTTCACTCCCCAGATGACTGCAGTGGTTGGAGCTGAGCTCATCCAAAGCCAGGAACCAAAGCTTTGGGACCCTGCACCCGTGTGGGAGACCTGGATGAGGTTCCGGACTCCCGGCTTCAGATCAGCACTGCACCGGCCATTGCGGTCACTTGGGGAGTGAATCATTGGACGGAAGATCTTTCTATCTCTTCTCTTCTCTGATAATAAATAAATCTTGAAAAAAAAATGGAAAAACTTTATGTTAACAAAAAAAGATTATTTTTTATTGCAAAGTCATGCGTGTGTGTGTGTGTATATATACACACAGTCTTTTTAATTAGGAGAAATGGTATCTTTTCAAATATCAGGTGTGAGTCATATTCCTGGCTCCAATCTCAAAAAGAGAAAAAAAGGAAGAAAAGAGCAAATGAAAAAAATCTGGTAGATTGTAATCTAAAGTGCATGATAAGATTGGCTCTGTAGCAGAGTTAACATAGATTAAAGGATTCCCACAAATCCTACATCGACTTTTATTTATTTAGTTTAAGAAGTTTTTATTTGAAAGACAGTTACAGAAAGGTTTTCCATTCATATGGCTGCTGCAGCTGGCACCAGGTTGATCTGGAGCCAGGAGCTTCTGGTTCTCCCACATGGATGCAGAGTCACTAGTGGAGCAGCTGGGACTCAGAGTGTGCCCACGTGGGACGTGTGCACTGCAGGTAGTAGCTTCATCTGCGCTGGTACGAGCACCAGCCCCTTTATTTCAAAGGTAAAGTTATAGAGGAAGAGAGAGAACGAGATCTTAATCTGCTGTGTTACTCCTCAGTTGGCCACAACAGCCAAGGCTGGGCCAGGCTAAAGCCAGAAGCTTCTTCCTGGTCTCCCACGTGGACAGAGGGGCCAAGAACTTACTTTCCCAGACACATTGAAAAGGTACAGTGAAGCAGCCAGAAGTGGAACATAAACCCACATGGTGTACTGGCATTGCAGGTGGTACCTCACGCCACTGCACTGTACCACCAATCCAAAATTCCAAATTTCCTTTTTTTATTTTAAAATAGATTTTTAAATTTTTATTACAAAGTCAGATTTGCAGAGAGAAGGGAAGACAGAAAGATCTTACATTTGCTGGTTCACTGCCCAAGTGGCTGCAATGGACAGACCTGAGCTGATCCAAAGCCAGAAGCCAGGAGCTTCTCCAGGTCTTCCACGTGGGTGCAGGGTCCCAAGGCTTAGGACCATCCTTGACTGCTTTCCCAAGTCACAAGCAGGGAGCTGGAGGGGAAATGAAGCAGCCAGGATATGAACTGGCCCCTGTATAGGATCCTAGCGCATGTAAGGCAAGGACTTTAGCCACTAGGTTACTGTGTCAGGCCCCCAACATATATATATATTTTTAATTTAAATAAAGATTGAGGATGGCTTAGTTGCTAAATTCTCGCCTTACATGCTTCGGGGGTCCCATTTAGGCACCAATTTGTGTGCTGGCTATTCTACTTTCAGCTCCCTGCCTGTGGCCTGGGAAAGCAGTCGGGGATGACTCAAAGCTTGGAGACCCTGCACCCGTGTGGGAGACCCGGAGGAGGTTCCTGGCTCCTGGCTTCGGATTGTCTCAGCTCCAGCCATTGCGGCCTCTTGGGCAGTAAACCATTGGATGCAAAATCTTTCTTTCTGTCGCCCCTCTTTGTGGATATACCTTCCAATAAACATAAATAAAACTTAAAAAAAAAATAAGGGAGGGCGATTGAGATGCTTGTTCGAAGGGAACATTTTGGGAATGAGCCCATAGCTAGAAGATAGGTCTATCTCTCTATGAGTCTCTGTCCCTCTAACTGCCTTTCAAATAAATAAACTTTTTGAAAAAGGCACTTCTTCGGCTCCCTGCTTTCCATATCGTGCCTGGGTTTCAGTCCTGGCTGCACTTCTATTCCAGCTTCCTGTTAATCCGCAGCCTGGGAGGCTGCAGGTACTTCACTGCCCAGTTGCCACCTGGAGAAGCAGCTTAAGGGCCAGGTGCCTGGCTTCAGCCTAACCTTTCCCTGGCCATTGAGGAACTGGGAGAAAACCAGCAGATGAAAATCTATTGGTTCTCCGCTTTCAAGTAACTTTTAAAGATTTATTTTTATTATTTTTTTATTGGAAAGGCGGATTTACAGAGAGGAAGATCTTCCGTCCGATGATTCACTCCCCAAGTGAGCGCAATGGTCGATGGATGCTATGCCTATCCAAAGCCAGGAGCCTCTTCCGGGTCTCCCACGCGGGTGCAGGGTCCCAAGGCTTTGGGCCGCCCTCGACTGCTTTCCCGGGCCACAGGCAGGGAGCTGGAAGGGAAGCAGGGCTGCCGGGATTAGAACCGGCGCCCATATGGGATCCCGGGCGTGCAAGGCGAGGATCTTAACCACTTGCGCCACCGTGCCGGGCCCTCAAGTAACTTTTAAACATTTAAATATTTTTCTTCCTTGGAGATGTTTTAGATGAGAAGGGAACAAATGTTTGAACTCAATGTATAGTGCCACTCTCCTCACCTTGGCCTGTAATAGTTTTGGAGACCCACGCATAGAGAGGGCTGGCTGGGACAGGTCATGCGTTACAGTGGCTCAAGCTAGTGATGGAGAGGCCTGTGTCCCATATGGGAGTCTCTGGTTCCAGTTCAGACTGCTCTGCTTGTGCTCTAGCTCCGTGCTGGTGTGCGAGTGCTCCTGACACCCACATGGAGACCCACATGGAGTTCTGGCACCTCTGGCCGTTGCCCATGAACCAGTGGATGCAACAGCACTGTCTCTATAACTGTGTTTTAAGTAAATAATAAGTCTTTTAGAAAAAAAAAGGTACTCTGAATGGGATGGTAGCCAAGGTTGAGAAGGTGAGAAAAGCCCCCATGTTGCAGAGCCTTTGGTGTAGGCTGGCAGCTTGCTGGGACTGGTAGGCATTGCTGCGTGTCTCTTTTTTTTTTCTAGGGGATGTTTCTTCAAAGTTTGATATTGGTTTGCTCAGAAGAGAAGGGTTTTTTTTTAGATTTTTTGCTGTTTAAATGTTAAATATGTGTGAGGAATTCTTGAAATCTGATTTAAGAGTACGTCTTTAACATCCTCCTCTGTTTTTTCCAGGGGTGAGCCCCTCCAGACTCCGAATAGGAGATCAAGAGTTTGATTCATTGCCTGCTTTACTGGAATTCTACAAAATACACTATTTGGACACTACAACATTGATAGAACCAGTTTCCAGATCCAGGCAGGGCAGTGGAGTGATTCTCAGGCCGGAGGAGGCAGAGTATGTACGCGCCCTCTTTGACTTTAACGGGAATGATGAAGAAGATCTCCCGTTTAAGAAAGGAGACATCCTGAGAATCCGGGATAAGCCTGAAGAGCAGTGGTGGAATGCAGAGGACAGCGAAGGCAAGAGGGGGATGATTCCAGTCCCTTACGTCGAGAAGTATAGACCTGCCTCCGCCTCAGTATCGGCCCTGATTGGAGGTAACCAGGAGGGTTCCCACCCACAGCCAATGGGTGGGCCGGAGCCTGGGCCCTATGCCCAGCCCAGCGTCAACACTCCGCTCCCTAACCTCCAGAATGGGCCCATTTATGCCAGGGTAATCCAGAAGCGAGTCCCTAATGCCTACGACAAGACAGCCTTGGCTTTGGAGGTACATAACGTGCAAAATGTAGAAAGAAGAGCTCTGCTGCAGGTCTCCCTTTCAGGCCTCTTAGAGCTTTCTAGGAATTCTGATACAAGCACCAACCTTGTAATGTTGTACATGTTGAACATTAAGCACTTGTTTTGGCATTTAATGTTGGGTTTTCTATTTTTTATAGAAAACCTGTTTTAGGATGAATGAATAAGCTTAAAACTGCATAATGGAATGCTTTGATTGATCTACTAATCACACTTTGATTACTTTAATAATAACATGATTTCTAGTAATTAACCTGAAATTTTTCCTCATCTATGTCTTGCTCTCTGTCCTTGTCTTAGAAGAAGGTGGGTTCACACAGTTGAGTGTAATAAGGGGTCTCTCTCAGGGCACTTAGAGCATAATGTCTCACTTGGAGGGACAGGAAGCGCCTTTGGCTGTGTGTGGAGTAAGAATTCAAGAGAAAAGGGAACTGTGACGTGGTCTCTGTCGTCCAGTGTATTTTATAGAAAGAAGCCAGCTTCCTCCTCAGGGGTTAGTTTTTGCCTTCATACTGGTGAATAGTTCTCTTTGGTAGCCTGTATTTTTTTTTCCACCAACTATTACAACATTGTGTTCATTCATTTATTTATTTCTTTAGTACTTGGCTTTGCTCTGTTTGTTTCTTCCCTCCTTTTCTAAGATATGCAGAGCTAGTGACTGGGCGCAAAAGCTAGGTGAAGAGTGGCATGCTCTCCCATTTTCTGAATGAACTGATACGATCACCCAACTGTATGAGCATAACTAACTTTGGTAAGCTCAGGCTGGAGTTAACGCGAGCACAGATTAGCAGAGAAGCGTAAGAATGTCTTTATAAACTGAAATCTCTGTGTCTATTTCCTTTGAGACATTTTCCTTCACTGAAGAGTAGGCATTGTCTTCTGTTCAATGGAAGTATTAGTCCACAGAATGAGCTAGAATTCATCGGAACCAGTCTGACATTACTGAATTGGAAATATTTACGTCCTGATCTAGAATGTGCCAAGTAGAAGGCTAGTTCTGTTTTGTTTGTTTGTTTGTTTGTTTTCTTTGGAAAGTCAGATAAAGAGAGAGAAGGAGAGGTGGATTCTTTTGTCCTCTGGTTACTCCCCAAATGGCTGCAATGGCCAGAGCTGAGCTGATCTGAAGCCCGGAGCCAGGAGCCTCTTCTGGGTACAGGGTCCCAAGGCTTTGGGCAATCCTCTACTGCTTTCCAAGGCCACAAATAGGAAATTGAATGGGAAGCATGGAGCAGCCACGACATGAACCAGCACACATATGGGATCCTAACTTGTGCAAGATGAGGACTTTAGCCACTAGGCTACTGTGCTGGAACCGAGTTTTTTAGTTTGCCTGAAAATGAGTACTTTTTGAAGGCATGTTTTTTTGGTCCTCTTTTGGCATAATAGTGTCATGTCTCTGCCTTGTTGTGAAAAGAAATGTGTGTTGTCTTGATTACCTCACGTGTTTTTCCCATTTAAAAGTTTGGAAGATGTGAAGACAGGTTCCTAACCTGTGTTTTCAGTTGAGTTCAGCGGGTGATAACGTCTGTCTGTGCTCTGCACGCGGGGGCGGCTCTGGGCCCTTGCTGTAGACCTGGTTAGCTCTGCTGCAGCGAGAAAACACCGGAGCAAGCCCACCACGCCCAGGCCAGAGTTTCCTCTTCTCGTTGAGAGAAATATTTTTAATGACATTTGCCTTGATTGCAGGCTAACTGTTTGAGCTGTCCTGCTTTGAAATATAAATCTTAAAAGATTTCAGTAGAACATTTCTGTGTGATATAGATTTCCTTTTTCATTTGGATACTGTTTTTTTTTTTTTTAAAGATTTTATTGAAAGTCAGATATACAGAGGAGAGACAGAGGGGAAGGTGTTTCATCCGTTGATTCACTCCCCAAGCAGCTGCAATAGCTGGAGCTGAGCCGCTCTGAAGCCTGGAGCCCAGAGCCTTTCTGCGTCTGCCATGCGGGTGTAAACCAAAGTGCAAACCAAGGTTTTGGGCCGTCCTCGACTGCTTTCTCAGGCCATAAGCAGTGAGCTGGGTGGGGAGCAGCACTGCCGGAATTAGAACTGACAACCATGTAGGATCCTAGTATGGGCAAGGTGATGCCTTCTGCCACTAGGCTACTGCGCTGGGCCCTGTATGTTGATTTTTGTTTTATTTTTTTTATTGGAAAGACAGATACACAGAGAGAAGGAGACAGAAAGAAAGATCATGGATATGTTGATTCTTTCCCCCGTTGGATGCAACAACTGGAACTGAGCCAATTTGAAGCCAGGAACCAAGAGCTTTTTCTGGGTCTCCCAGGCAAGTGCAGGGTCCCAAGGCTCTAGGCTGTCCTCGACTGCTTTTCCAGGCCACAGGCAGGGAGCTGAATGGAAAGGGGGAAGCTAGTACCAGAATCGGCGCCCGTATGGGATCCCGGTGTGTGCAAAGCAGGGACTTTAGCTGCTAGACAACCATTCTAGGCCCTGTATATTGATTTTTAACTAAATATGTTTATTGGTGAAGATAGCTTCTTTTAAATAATATCCCAAATAATAGCTTTAAAACACCTTCTCTTGGGTTCTTAGGAACAAAAATAGTATTAAGTTAGACAAATGGAATTCTAGAACTGGAAATAATCTTAGAAGTCTGTATTCTATAGAAGAAACTTACTGTCTAGATGAATGGAGTAAATTTTCAAGCTATTTGAGATGGGTATGTGATGAGCCCAGGTCTGTCTTGGTACCATTTCTCAGACTGAAACTCCATCTTGCTTCTTGCTCTATTGTGACAGCTTCGCTGGCCTCCTGACTGCAGTTGTTGTAAAATTTCACTGACAGCATCAACTCAGCTGTGTCTAAGGGAAGCCTAGTTTTCCTTTCTAATCTCTTACTGTGGGTAATGTCAGGAGATAAGATTATAGGCTGGTTTTTAGGGCCTGGCATGGTAGCCTATAATGACTAAAGTCCTGCCTTGCATGTGGCAGGATCCCATATAGGCACTGGTTCTTATTCCAGTTGCTCCACTTCCCTTCCAGCTCCCTGCTCGTGGCCTGGGTAAGCAGTCAGGAACGGCCCAAAGCCTTGGGACCCTGCACCCACGTGGGAGACCCAGAAGAAGCTCCTGGCTTTGGATCACCTCAGCTCTGGCAGTTGCAGCCACTATGGGAATCAGTCAGTAGATGAAAGATCTTTCTCTCTATAAATTTGAGTTTCCAATTATAAATAAGTAAATAAATCTTAAAAAAAAAAAAGGAAGGACAATTGATGGTCAGTATTGGGTAAAGTTGGCAGTTCAGCACTGGCTCGTTTCCCCTCTTCCACTTGCAGTCCAGCTCCCTCTTGATGGTCTGTTAGAAGCAGCAGAAGATAGTCCAAGTATTTGGCTCATGTCACCTTTGTGGGAGATTTAGGTGAACCTGGTGGCACTTGCTTCAGCCTGACTTCGTTCTGGCTATTGTGGCCACTTGGGAAAAGAACCAGTTGTTGGAAAGGTCTCTGACTCGCTCCCTCTGTAACTCTGACTTTAAAATAAATAAATAAATAAATAAACAAATAAATCTATTTTTTTTTTTAAAGATTTATTTTTATTTTTATTGGAAAGGCGGATATACAGAGAGGAGAGACAGAGAGGAAGATCTTCCGTCCGATGATTCACTCCCCAAGTGAGCGCAACGGTCGATGCTATGCCGATCCGAAGCCAGGAACCTCCTCCAGGTCTCCCGCGCGGGTGCAGGGTCCCAAAGCCTTGGGCCGTCCTCGACTGCCTTCCCGGGCCACAGGCAGGGAGCCGGATGGAAAGTGGGGCCGCCGGGATTAGAACCGGCGCCCACATGGGATCCCGGGCGTGCAAGGCGAGGACCTTAACCACTGCGCCACCGCCCCGGGCCCAAATAAATCTATTTTTAAAAAAGATTTTAAAAAAGTGTTTATTTTTATTGGAAAGAAAGATATACAGAGAGAAGGAGATGCAGAAAGATCTTCCTCTGCTGATTCAATCCCCAAGTAGTCACAATGGCCGGAGTTGAGCCAATCCAAATCCAGAAGCCAGGAGCTTCTGTCTTCCACATGGGAGCAGGGTCCCAAGGCTTTGGTTCTTCCTCTTTTGGTTTCCCAGGCCACAAGCAGTGAGCTGGATGGGAAGTGGCGCGGCCAGGGCAAACCTGCGCACACATGGAATCCTGGCACATGCAAGGTGAGGACTTATTAGCTTAAAGCTACTGTGCTGGCCCAAAGAAATAAATCTTTAGAAAAAAAAGATTAGGAGGTTAGCATGATACTCCTTTGCCTGTGGTACTGGCATCCTATATGGGCAGTGGTTCAAGATCTGATTCCTGCAAGTCCAATCTAGCTTCCTGCTAATGACCCCGAAAATCAGTAGATGGTGGCCCAAAGCATTGGGACCTGGCACCTGTGTGGGCGACCCAGAAGAAGCTCTTGCCATTGGACCAGCCTGGCTCTGGCCATAGCAAGCATATGGACAATGAACCAGCAAATGGAAGATCTTTCTCTGTCTTCTCCCTTTTGCTCTATATAATTCTGATTTTCAAGTAAAATAAATAAATAAATTTTTTAAAAATTTAAAGATACATTTTTTTTTTAATTGGAAAGTCAGGCATGTATAGAGGAGAGACAGAGAGGAACAACTGCCATCGGTTGATTCACTTCCCAAGTGGCCGCAGCAGCCTGAGCTGAGTTGATCAGGAGCCAGGAGCTCTTCTAGGTCTCCCGCATGGGTGCAGGGTCCCAAGGCTTTGGGCTGTCCTTGATTGCTTTTCCAGGCCACAAGCAGGGAGCTAAGTGGGAAGTAGGGCTGCCGGGATTAGAACTGGCGCCCATATGGGATTGTGGCATGTGCAGTGCGAGTACTTTAGCCACTAGACCACCATGTCAGACCTGCAAAAATACTGTTAAAAAATTTCCTGCCTTCATCTGGCATATAGATGTTTCCTAAACAGTATATTTATTCATAAAGCTGAGAACCAGAGAGACAAAGGCACCTTCCATCT